TTTTTTTTTTTTTTTTTTTTTTTTTTTTTTTTTTGGTCTTAGCAACATCACAAGTCAACAGGTTCAAGTTTTTATTATGTGTCATGAAGAAAAGTTACTTCTTTTTATTTTAAGCTTTATGACTCTACTGAGCCTCACATGATACTTATATTGACAGAAATGGAATAATTCCCTCTTCAGCTTTCCTGTAATACTCATGGTCTTACAGATATCTAAAGTACAGTTTTTCCATAGTCTCTTTACCAAGCTAGAGACCCCTAATTTTTAAGGCTTCTTGCCTAAAGAGACCCTGTTCCTCCATTATGAATGATTACAAATACGTTTGATTTGCTGAGCTGCACAGTTACACATCACCCTCTCAGAACTGCAGCGTGTAAGAAAAAATCAGATGTGAACTTTAACAACACTATTGCAATCTGGAAATAAGGGTTAGTTGCTATATCATTTCTCGCTCTGTTTACTCTCCGATTAATCTGCAAACATTCTGTCAAGCATACAAAATTGTATTTATTAATATCTGCTAGCAACAAAAGCAAGATTGAAAAAATCTCCAAGTTTAGCTTACTTAAAATGAAATCCAATCCAATAAATGAAAAGAGAAATTACTAGTTCACCAAAGCATGCAAGTAAAGCAAAATCAAAGTGTCAGTAATCTAACATGAAACTATATTTAACAACTGAAGTTTAATCAAACTTTTTTTTCAGATTGAAGGAGTTCAGAAAACTGAATTTTGAGACCTACGATGCTGCATATACAATGGCACAAATAATACCATTGCCCAGCAAGAAAATGTATCTGTTTTCATTACTAAAGTTGAAAGAAATGAATAAACACATAGTTTCAGTGAAAATAAAGAGATTTTATTTAAACATTCTTATTTTCTTAGATATTACTGGCCACAGAGAAGGAAAACATGGTCCTACAAAAATTAACTGATCCATAAATGATTTCTTCCACAAATCCTACATGGCTTTGCAGTGTTACTGGCATGCTTATTATTTTCTTAATTAAAACATACCTATTTTACTGAACGCTTCTCTTAGTTCCTCAAGCTCTTCACGAGAGATAGTAGTTATGTTGTTTTCCATCTCTGGACAGCAAGAAGTGTTGTCCTCAATTGCCTATACCTAACAACAACAAACAGGAAATACATAAGGCTTTAATACCAAGCACACATGAATACAAGTTATTGATCTTTTCAATACAGGGTACATGACCTGACTGACATTTCCAGGCCTGGCACAGTTAAAACATTACAAACAACACTTTAAAGTACATCAAACACCTAGCAATTCTTTTAGCTCTAAGAGTGACTGAGAATTCACAATAGCAGCACCTGTTTTCATACACTTAATGCTTTCATTTGCATAGAATAAGCACTGACCAACAATCGACCTCCATTGCTTGCGTGGTTTTCCAATATTAAAATTGTCACCTTACATTTCAACAACCAAGTTTTAGAAAAATTCATTTCTAAAGTGCAACGCAGTATCATTGCCGATTCGTGGTTAGTGATAGGACCTAGTCCCGCAAAGCACCGAGCCCTCCAACGTTTGCGCAGTAGTGAACCTCAGTGGGACACTTTCAAGGACCTGCTTACAATCAGCGGGTGAATGCTGATGAGCCTTTCCACAGCTGCTGCAGAAGTTACCACCTCCTGACCTTTACTGCACTCTTCTGACATGTCTGTGGTCTCATAACACTGTCAAAGGGCTGTATAATGGCTTTTGCTGAGCACACAGATTGGAGTCTCAGTGTGAATCTACTTTCTCTACCCAACTCCATAAAAAAGCAAAATAAAACTGAAGGCTGATAAACCCCCATGACAGATCCTTACCCACTTCCTCCTATCGAAGCTTTACTACAACAGAATGATTCAGACCCTTGTTAGTAAGTGCAAGTTTGTAAAGAAGTCACACACTATCATCTCAATTCGCAGGCTTGTATTTGCATTTGCCATCTTCCACTGCGCACATGCCACTGGCGCACAAAAAGCCAGCTTAGAGCAGCATCCATCTGTGTGTGCTAAACTCTGAACAGCACTGGGCTGTAGAGAGCACAGTGCACTACACGTGGAGCTGTGCCTACCATAAAGTAGAAGTTTTGTCTTTGGTTTTACTTTGTAAGTATAAAGTGGCAAAAATCCATCATACATAAGTATTTTCATCAGAGTTGTCCTCTACTTGTTTATGTTCTTCTTTCTGGTTTAGTGTTTTTGCTTTAGTGCAAGAAAAATATTCCTGTAATGGCCAGGTTATTATTTGCTCATAATAATTACATTCAGATCTGCTATATGCAGCTGCTTCTCCCCCAGAAATCATACATATAAACAGAACTGTACTGGGTGAGACACTGGAAGGGGAAGAAACCTGAATTCAACAATTGGTTTTATCACGGACCTGCTGGATGCCCTTGGGCAAGACCATACCTTTGATTCCCACCTTTATAAATCCTGACTAATCAGGTTACAAACCTTCCCAGTGCAGGGACTGTCCCATAACTAGATGGTTCCACAATGCTTGCAACAACAGGATCTCTCTAAGGCCTTCTCTAAGACTGTAATAATAAAATCAGAATTTGGTTCACAATAAAAGAGATAAAACATTATCAATCTGAATTTCTGTCAGAAAATAATTTCTTCCCCATTATGGTTGAGTCAATTTTGTTTCAATCCTTGACAATCTGACAACAAGAAAAAAATACCAATGAAGTAACTGAACAGGTCACCAGCACACAAGAGGAGAGGTAGCAGGCCACTATATCAGCTGCAGTTTGCTGGAGGTTTACTAAGGAGCAAATACAATACTGCTGATATGAGTTATACATACTCTACTGTGAAAATAGGTTTGATACAAAATCAAATAGCTGTGGTCAGCCACAGACAGGTATAACATTGCCTCGCTACACTGAAGCATCTCCTGATTTCAGAATTATAAGCAGTGACATCACTGCTGGAGATTATTTCACTGAGAAAGACATCAAACTTCTGTATTAGTGATGTCAAAGCCCAACATATTCTGCAACTGGGTGGAATGTCTGTTTATCAAATTGGCTTTCGCTGCCTACCTATGAAAGGGGACCAAGCAAGAAGTACAGCACAACCTGTTGGTTTGCATAGTATTCACAGGTTGTCCCTCTTTGCTTGGAGATGAAGAGCACAGGGTCAGTCTGTCTTTCTTCTGTAGCTACCACCAGTTACACAGAAGTGGGGATTCCCACTGTATCCAATGCCTAAGGCTGTCAATATTCTAATGTCCTCATATTTAAAAAGTATCTTTCAGGAGAAACAGGAGACATGATACAACTTGTCAAAAAGCCCCACCTGGATTCAAAATTGACTTGCAAATATGAAATTGTTAAGAAACATAGTTATTCAACATATGTGGACACTATGTTGAAAAGCACCTTGCTGAATGGAGACCCAGGTAGCCAGAAATGAACTTGTCGAGAATATTGGGACTGAATTTTACTCAAACCTGCCAGCCCAAAGCTATGTATTACGGCATTCCTCCTCCTACTATTTTGCCTTTTGTTGAACCCAGAATGATACACTTTTTGTCATTTATATTCATATTCTATATGCTATTAAATGAGAAACTCAGCTTTTGAGATTGCTTAACTGTATGCAACACGTAAATTGCTAAGCAGTTTTTCATAAGATGATTTTGATTCTCTCAATACCATTTTGATAAATTCAAAGTAAGTTTTTACCTTTGATTTTCTAACGCAACAAGCAATGGGACAATCTTTTTGCTACTGTTTTTACTGTTGGTAAGACAACGCAGTATGGGAGAGAATCAACTATCCTATACTATGAAATACTTGCTAAGAACTCTTGACCTGTTTGCAATGAAAAAAATACTCTGCAGTAAATGATGGAAAGGTATCTAGAGCAAAAACCAAAATGCTGAACGAGGTATCCTACATGTAGCTAAACCTGTATGCATAATGACACAAGTAACACTCGTGAGCTAGCAATGAGTAGCTCCCAACATTTTTCAAAATACTATTTTTAAATAAACAAAGCAACTATTTGTTAAAAATACTACAAAATACTGTGACTGTTTTAAAGAACTTTTTTTTTTTTTTTTTTTTTTGTGCTTATCTGAAAAAATGAGAGGTAGATATTTCCTTCAAAAACAAAATGACTTGAAAGTTATTCTCATGTTAATAAACTTCAACTGAGAGTCAGGGTTTTAAGAAAAACAAGTAAACATGAGATGTGGTGAAACCTTTTAAGATAGCAACTGTTTTGCCAGACCATTCAAGAAAATACAAGAAAATCTGTCATGGGAGTATGTGACTACTGTCTCAAAGTACAAAAAGTAAAAATATTTATTTGGGCTCTATCTGTAGCATAAGCATTTATTTATTTACTCTTAGTCTTGTGTACAAGAGAAGAAAAGTTATGCGCACTATGTAACTGATTATCATCTCAGCAACTGTTTCTGCTTCTTTTAAGGCAGTCCTTCACTTTTCTTCCTTGATGCTATATAACATTTCCATAGTAATTTAGTTTTCTTCCATGATGCTATATAAAATGAGTTCTTAAACAACAGTGGGTTCTTTGAGATCTTGTCTATCGTACTTGCGTTGGCATTTTCTGTGTCTTCACTGGGACTGTTCCTCTGGGTCACACAGGATATGGCCTTGCATGTGGGTGGTGAGCTAAGCCTTCTTCCTTCATGTCACTCTATCTTAACTTAAGTACTAAAATCCTACTCATCCATTTTGCTAAGCTCACTAACAGCATGTACTAGTCTTCATATGAAAAGAAAAAAAACCTAACACTGAAAACACATATTCAGGAAAAACGATCTTACACACAGATGTTTCTGCAAGTGCAAGTACCCCGATTGGAAACCTGATGTTGCAATTGAAAATGAAGAAATAATAAACTGTGGAAAAAATAAGGAAAAATATTAAAAACATTTAAATCTAAATTACTAAGGACTCTGAAGCTGCAAAAAACCCCCAGAAGACAGTCCTCTGAAATACAAAAACAGCATGTCAAGGCCTAAGTGAAATATTTAGCCACGCAGGTGCAAAAGACAACACCACTTCTGTCACACTGTTAATGTTTTTAACTATTTACCATTACCATGAGTCAGATTTTATAAAAAAATCTGCAAATTTGCAATGCAATTAGTGTCATTCCTCCCCTTTTATGATTTATAATTTAGATTTTTTATCATATTTTATTTCAGCAAATAGCAATCTTTGCTTTCCAAAGATGCTGGTTATTTCAATAACACAGTAGAAACATCTGTTCCTGAATGAAGCAGATAAATAAAGCTAATACTCTGCTCTAGAGAGACAGTCTTAAATACCCTATTATATAATTACAGGGTAAATTAGCTGGTCAATTGAATGGCAGAAGTGCTGCAATCATGGTTTTGGCTTTCAGGAGAGATCTAGTTTGAGCAATCAGAAACAACACCTAAACTAGTCAGACATTTCAGACAATTTCAGTATACAAACAGGAACTTTCTATCTAAGCTAATAAATACCTTGCACATACAGTATTATCACCATCCAAGATGACTCAGTCCACAGGCAATTCTGACAAGGTGTAGCATTAACCCTCCAAAGACACATGTCTACTGGAACTCTGACTACCTGCTGAAGGATACATTCGTTTGGAAAGAACACATTTCTCTATACTCTGGTAGCGTTCATATGACACTTGGATTTTCTGCCATCTATGCTTACATTAAACCATCACCTGCTGCTCCAGGACAGAGTAGGTACAAACATTGTTTTTATACTGAGAAAGTGCCCTTGATCTTCCTTTCAGCCCTTGCCAACCTGTTTAACGTGAACTGACAATATTCATCTATCCCGAGCCTGCCTTCTACACCTGGAAGGGTTTCTGTATCTAAAGACAATTGACTGGAGTCTCCTGGAAATGTTTCACATCCAACATTAATACAGATACAAACTACTGTTTATACCATCGTGCTATTTCTTTGTGCACAGAGGAGTATCTGTGGCTGAGCAACCATGAAGGATAAAGTGAAGAGGCCAAACAGCAGCTCCTGCAGCTTTTTTGACCCCTTATCAAAGCTGTCAGAAAACAGAGCAGTTAATTGGCAATCAGGCCCAATAGTTTTCTCCAACCCTGCAGGCAACTGGCAATCTCTCATCCAGCTCTTCATTTCAAATTCTATTTGACTTGTTTCCACAAGCAGCTGCTTCCGAAACAACAATGGACATTACAAATGCTGACTTAAGAGCTTATTTTCTTTTGTTGCTGTTCTTTTTGTCTGGCATTAGGGACACACCTCCTCTGTCCCTGATGCAAATACCACTCTATTGCTGCATCATCCTTAAATCCGTTGTTTCTAATGACAGCCAGGCTAGCATAATTTACAAGTATAGGTTGTGCTTTTATATCAATAACCAGCTGATTATTAGTACGTACCATCTACAACTACAAACATGAAAACTCTGCTTCTCTTATTGGGCTTTGAATCGAACTGCTATAGATTTTAATGCCAAAAACCCCCCACAAACCCCATGGTTTAACCTGTAGCATTCCTGTGTTGGTTTATCTGGGATTCTTTAAACCAATATGGTGGAAACAGGGTAGCCTTCATCCACTGTCAGTCTTTTAAGATCTCACCTGATTAAACAGGTTCTACCCTCAGTGAGAAAATAATGCATTATAAGGTGTAAGACATATGAAAGGAACGTTAAAACAACAATACGCAAAATGCTCCCTTTAGTAAGGAGGGAAGAGAAAATGCTGCTGTATTTTAACTGATGAAATGCTAACTGAACATTAGTGAAAAAACTTGCATATCAGTTCCACTGCTAAAATTTTTATAACTGCTATTGATATACAGAATATTAGCTTTATATGAATACAAACAGGTTTCTCATGTCTTTTCAAGTAGATAAAACTGCCCAAGTTTTTGTTTGCTGTTTGTTTTTTATGTTCCTCCCTAGCTTATACTGAAAGATCTTTTTACTTATGCTTATTCTTGATCCCCAAATATAAATATTATTAGAAGCCAACTAAAAATCAATCCTTTAACAATCTGAAAGGGCAAACTATGTTCAGGTGGTCTGTAATAAATACCACTGGAGGTTAACCTTTTTTTTTTTAATTTACTGGAGATTAACTTCTATCTTACTGTGATAAATCCTTTAATCTTTATGACAAAATGAATAATCAATAGGGTTCAGTGACTTGACAATTTTTTCATTATTATAGTTTACACAAGTATAGGATACAGAAAGATAGCTTATCTTTCTCATATCAATGGACAAGCTGCAGGAGACATTAACAGGAGAGAAATACACTTCATGTTATCCAAAGTGAAAGAAGTCTTGATTGCAGAATACAGTCACAGAATATCAGGTTGGAAATGACCTCGAGGATTATCAGCTCCAAACTTTCTTGGCAAAAGCGCAGTCTAGACAAGACAGCCCACCACCCTGTCCAGCTGAATCTGAGAAGTGTCCAATGGTGGGGAATTCACCACTTCCCTGGGGACATTATTCCAATGCCTGACGGTTCTCACTGTGAATAGTTTTCTCCTCTTTCATCCACAAACAGAATCTACCCAGGAGTAACTTGTACCCATTATACCTCATCTTTTTGATGTGACTCCTTGTAAAAAGGGAGTCTCCATCTTCTTTGTAGCCACCCTTTAAATACTGGAACGTGATCATAAGGTCTCCCCTAAAGCTTCTTTCCTCAGGGCTGAACAAACCCAACTTTCTCAGCTTTTCCCCATATGGCAGGCTTCCCAGTCCCTTGATCATATATGTGGCCCTTCTGTGGACATTCTGCAGCCTGTCCACATCATTTTTGTATAGTGGGGACCAAAATTGAACACAGTATTGCAGGTGTGGCCAGTCCTCTAAATATAGAAAGGAAGAATCTAATACACCTAGAATGATGAGCACTGGGTCCTATAAAGAAAGAAAATAAAAAAAAAAATAGGTCCACTCCTAATGCAGCAAAAGAGGATGCTTGTAAACCTTTAAAACAGGAGAGCATGGAAAGGTCAAAGTAATTAGCTATATAAATACATATACCTGTATATATATAAAAAAAGATATTGGAACTGCTAAAGCACATTGCTAATTTCTGAAAGAAAAGGCAGGGTGTAATTGTGGCATCAGGTACCATCACTAACAGTAGTATGAAGTGGAAATTTCTTTAAATATCATACATTCAGTCTGAAGCTTCACTACCTGAAAAAGTCAGAGAGTATGTTTCTCAGCCTCTGCTTGTAAACATGGCTGGATACATTTATGACCATCAAAAGTATTTAATTATTACAAGTTAGAAGATAACAATGAACAAGTGTTATGCTTCAACAGACAAACTGACAACCCATCGAATTTTTTCTCAGTCTTCTACATACAGCATTACACAGTGAACAAGGTACAACTTAAGAGGGAAAAACTGAGGGTTTTTTAACAATTTCTGAAACTATGCACTGATCTTTGCTAGAGGAAGGCTATATCAAACCAGCCAGAGTGATACATTTTGTGCCCATAAAATATGTATCTTATGTAAGGAGGACTAGATGATTTACATTGAAGTTAATTATTCACCCTATAGGAATTTATTCAACATAGTACAGAAACTCTGGTGAATAATAAAATCAACATTTTCCACTGTGCCTTTAAGATAAACATGGGTGACTCAAGAACAAACAGTAAAACAATAAGCTGAGATACCCAACTGTTAAACTGGTCACTGATCTGACTTCGCTTACTATGGTATAAATACAAAATTATGAGGCTTAAATGAGGATGAAGAGCAATTCTAATATAAAGCAGATACAAGTTTACTTTAGAAAGATACCTTTCCATCCAAACAAAATGCCTCCAGCTTCCTCTGGCTGCCAAGTATACAGAATAGCCATGCAAATTCATCAACAGTATCAGTTTCACTTAGTTTCCTTCACATGCATCATTCAAGAGGATCTCAGACTGCCTCTGCTTTGTATTGTTGCACTCAGCAATCCAAATAAAAAACGTTAATGGAAACTTTACCTATGTTAGAAGGACCAATTCTAGTAAAGTAATTTTGAAAAAATGTTATTGCATGCAGAGTTCACAGAAGTAACTTTCCCAAAATATTTTGCAAACCTAACCTGTTTACAGTTTAGCTACATCAACACTTTGGGCTGAATTTGCCCAAACAGATTATCTCAGAGCATGTGACACCTGTTCTGGTCTAGTTAATTAGTTATTTTTCTAAGAGTTCTACAAGTTTCACCTGCCTCCAGCACAGAGCTGGGAGTGCTTTATTGCCTGTTCTGTAAAAGGGGCATGAAATCTGTCCACCCCATATCTACAGGCAAAGCTATGCCTACTCATACAACATTGACCTGGACATTGCCTGATTTATAAAACTCAAAATTTCTGCTTGATTCTTTGAGAAGGCTGTACTCTTTCATTTCATTTGCACTGCACATGCTGTAGTCCAGAATAACATGCAATATGCAAGAACTCACCTCTGCAATCGCTCATTGTGGCTGCCAAGAGAAGGCACAGCACCTTCCCCTCCAGTTCTAAAGACCAAGGGGAAAGTAGGGAAGTGAACTTCAGTCTTCCAAGTCTCACAACAGATTACAGGCCACTCTTCCACTTCTCCTCATCTCATTTGCTTTAATAGACCAAGCTGTGGTATTAGTGAGCATGTCATCAAGAGCAAATCTGAAACAGTGACATCCTCCATGAAACTGGGATGCTGAGGCGATACAAGTCAATACCACTAGCCCTGCAGAGCTGCACACACAAGTTACTGCTTTCTAACTGCATTTTCTGATGTTTATAAATGTAGTCATTCATAACACACTAGTTGTGGTTAGGTGTCATTTTTGCAAGTAAGAACAGTGAGGAAGTTAAATTTATGTATTTCTGCAATACAGTGTATCCTGGGCTCCCTACCTGTTAGCAAAATATTTCCACATGAAAAACACATGCACAAAACTGTTCCCATGCAACAAGTATCTTTTCTTTAGGACTTGAAAATACAAAGCAAATCAGTAATGGAAATACAGAAACAAGATTTCTCATTCATCTCTTGATAAGAGACAACATTTGTGTTTTTCAGAATACAAAATCAAATTGTCTGCAAAAACAACATACCCTTTAATCTGAAGCAAAATCATGCTAGTTTTGAGATGGGCTTTACATTTTGAAGTTTTTATCAAGTAAGATTAAGTTTTCTGAACTATCTATATATTTTACGTAATTTAAAATATAAAACATATTAGCTTTCCAATAAATTAGGGAGTACAGAATCAAAACATACACTATAAAATACTAAACAGTTGTGCCTTAAGAGGCAAGAAAGGGACACAAAAATCAAGTTGCCCTACAGAATATCTAACAGGGTTAAATTCAAAGAACTCTGATCCAAAGTAAAGGTTGGATAGAGTGAATCTGCTAAAGTGGCACATGCTCTTGGTTTTATTATGCACGACCTTTGCCTTGGTGAAAGTTCAGTAACAGCATGCACATGGTATCCAAGCACTGTCAAGAGAAGTGCAGACATGTAAGGAAAATGACAGCACAGTAGGAAATTGAACACACTCAAACCATAAATCTTAATTACTTTTTATGATATCTCAACATCTTTCATCAATTTCAAATATTTAATTCCTTAGCCAATTATCAGGCCTAGCATAAAGGACACAACCAGCATAAAGATGAACCAATAACCAAATTGGATTTGATACAAAAGGGTCAGTGCATGGGTGAGCGCTGGGGGTACCAACAAGTCAGTCAGGTTATACATAATCGACATCAATCCCACTGACCCCAACAACGACACCACACGACCAACAATGGGGGGAATAAATGGTGACATGCAGTCTCCCATAGAAGGGACGGGAGACAACCGAGTCAACAAGCCAAACACATGAGACCAAGGAAGCCACACACTGAATCTCTACACAGCCCACGTTTACAAAAGCCAGACCTGACTGGAGCCCAGTCCCAGGGAGGCAGGAGGTCCTTCCCCAACAGGGAACTCTGCACAGGGCATCCACCCCACAGACAGACACTGCCCCTGCCTGCAAGTGGTCCCAGCTTTCATCCCTCAGTGGGACACCTGACCTTTGGTTACTGAATGCAGACCCCTGGGGCTCCTTTACCCAATGGCTCTGTCTGCCAGGCCGGCCCCACCCTGGGGGGAAGCCTAAAGGCAAACTCACCCCCCTTTGGGAAGGGCTGTGGGAATCACCCATATGTCAACCTTAATTTGGGGCTTGGGGTTGAAACCCCAGCACTTCAACAACATAAATATTTAATCAGGAAAAAGAACACAAAAGGCATAAGAACTTTACGTTAAACATACCAACTATCCACTAACATGGGACTGTTCCCACTAAAAATTGTTTTCAGAACTCCTTGCAAATACAAGTAGCTTATGTTCTCATGGAAATGAAATAGAACAAACAATAATAGAGTTGCTACAATCTACAGTAGAAAAGGAAGGTCCTATTATGCCCGTTAAATAAGTTTGAACCTACAAATTTCAGGCAAACAGCTTGGAGACAGAGCTAAAGGTACACAGGTTTAAATGCCTGGATGACTTCAGCTAGAAAGATGTGCCACCAACCTATAGCAATTCAGCTCTGAAACACCATAATCAAGTCTTATAGTTGGTCTAAAGAAGATTTGTTTCTTTTTCATTCAGCTACAGAACACCACCTAGAAGCTCAGAATGCACCTTATCAGATGCTACCACAGCAAAGGTACCAGAGTTAAGGAGAGGTTTTCCAGTTGTATTCCAACAATTTAAACAGGAGTCAGCAGAATTTGTGGATTTTCAGCATCTCTAATAATCATGCCATGAACTAGTGAATAACTTTAGAATTAAGTAACTCCAGTACAATGCAACGGTATTCCTTCCAGAGAGAGGGAAGCAGATCTTGTTTAGTGCTGCTATAGAAATGCAAGTGTTAGCATAAACAGAAAGGTTCCTCAAGGTCTCAGTTCCATAGTTCATTACACACACAGAAAGTCAGACATCACTGCTAACATTTTCATTTTACAATAATAAATTCTTGCATCCAGCAATAAAACCAGCATGCTGTTAATGGCACACAAGGACAGGAAAGAATAGGCAAAAACAGTGTCAGGAAAAGTGGGACTAGGTAATTCCCGTGGGAAACAAGAGATCATGCAGAACACCTTCCCTTTGTTGAGCAAACCCTACAATTTTCTCCTCTAGCCTATTAGAAAACATACATTTGTAGAAACCACTAGAATTGTAATACATGGGATCTTTGTGGGTGTGGCACTAACCTTCCCAATATAAATCATCTCAAGCATTGCTTGAGCTTCCACCATACTCTCTAGAGTCTAGTATAATTTTTATCTTTCACTGATACAGTTAAAACTAGTGCTCAAAGGAAATATCCCAGTCCTTTTATAAAACTCATGAAACTTGCAGCCCATTTCTGAGAGCTGTGTGGCTTATGCTTAAGACCCATTTTCACCTCTATGCTTCAGACACATAACATACTTACAGTCCGGTCTGCTTCTATGCACACTTAAAGTCACATATATTTTCAAAGAAAAATTTTATTCACATTAAGCATTAACATGTTTTCCTTAGACAACTCAAGAACGCTACCAGGCCTGCCCACTATAACTCAAAATAATAATGGTAACTGAAGTGAAGCAAGCCCATCTCATCTTTTTATGCAAGAATATGAATTTGGGTTTTTGAATATAAATTAAACATTTAAAGGCACTGTTCTGAAAGCAAAAATCTTGGTTTTTCCATTTTATACATGGCAACATCTGTATTTGAGTGTCTATGGCTGCAGAGCTATATTCAAACTAATTAGCAAGGTATTAACAGTTAGGATGGGGCTCAAGACAGATTAAGGTGACTTGATGGAAGAAACGTCTTTAGAAGTGTAAACACAATAATGTTTACACTGGTCCAGAAGCATTTGACAGCCTTGAACAGAAACGAGATTTGTCTGTCTTTCAACAAGCTCTATTAACTTAATATACTGTTTCCTTTTATATGACCTTTTCTTATCTCCTCACACCAGCAATATAATTTGCCCTCTGGATGGATCATTTGATACTCTCCAAAAGTCAGTTTATTATGTCCCATGCTGACTAGTCATTTGGCTTCCCCGCACACAAATGTGCTAGGCCCTCCTTCCTGGAGAACTTCTGCAGGCTCCCATCAAGCACCTCTTCTGCTCTTCCTATTCTACAAAGCTACCCTTCCCTCACTGACCTTGTCTCCCTATCCACCATCTTTACCAATATGGATGTCTTTGCTTGTATACTACTTCTGAACGCATCCACCCAGTGATCAGGCAAACGCCCTGTCTCTGGAAGGACAGAGTTGGCAAGGCTCATGCTTTCCAATTAGCATTGGAAGCTGGTGCCTTGGATGCTGCCACCAAAAGTAAGGAGAAAATACAGGCTGAACCAATGCCACAGCCACCATAGCGCAGAGTGCCAAACGCAGACATTGTGGCAAGATGAATGCCTACTAAGGTCAAAATATCACAGCAGTTTAAGTCCAAACTTGGTTCCTCTGTGACATTTCCTTAAAGCAAACCACACTAAAATATAAATGGAAAGCCTACACTAATAAAAGCAAGTTCATTCAGGCACTCCATCCTCAAGTGCTTCTTTTGTGCTTAGGCTGACATTACATATCAAGTTTACAACAGTAAAAAGGGAGTGAGTTAAAAGACAACAGCAAACAATACTTAATCTATTTCTCTGTCTAGGTTTATGCACATACAGCTTTTGTTAGCATGCAACTACAATGACAAATAAAAACTACATTATTTTAATAGGTAACTTCGATATAAATATTCCCTGATATATATCTTAATTAGAAAATAAACATTTTCATCAATAAAAATTTTGTCTGTGAACACAGGAAAACTCATGCTCAGAGCTTATGATGTGTTGACAAGACCTTAATTTGAGAGGAGCTTTCTGGGTGTCCCGTTAATCTACAAGTAAGATTGACAACTTGGGGGTTATGCTTTAATTATTCTTCTACTTCTTTATTAAACTGTAGCACCACTAGTTAATTACTAAACAGAAAAGCTAACCAGAAGCAATAGTCATTATCCCATCTTTCCAAAACCAATCACAAGTCAGATCTTAACCAACTAAAAAAATATGAAGTGTCAAAGGATTTTAAAGGAAGTGTCAAAGGATTTTACCCATATGGAATGACATCTGTCTTCTGTTTTCACATTAACTTTTCATGCTTTTCTCTGTAACTGGAAGGACTAGAAATTTGTTCTAAAATTAAACAGATCCTCACATAATTTCTCAACTCCACAAACTGGGTCTTTTGAGAACACCTTCAGTTTTCATGGAAAGGTTAAACTATGAGAACTCATGATATTGTGGAAGTCACCAACTTACCATCTTCTGTCTCAATTACAATTTAAATAGAACAT